GGTATATCCTTTTACCGTGGTCTGACATAAAAAAACAGTAGGAGTTTTGCATGAATATTGTTTTATGTCCCTCTAATCAAAAAATGGAAACAAGTTTTCATTGTTCTATTGAAATGTATTTTATTATGCAGTTTATATTATAACTGAATTTTATACAATTGCTTTACCAAAACTTTCTGATCAGTGTTTCACTTATGTAACTTTTTTGCTATATAGAACGATGTATAGTAGTATATTCTATTCTCTCATATAATTTCCTTACAGAAATATTCATCCAACTGTGTAGAACAATTTGAAAATTCTAGGAGCTAGGTGTGCGTAGATTAAGTTTATCATATTTATGCCATTTAAATAAGCTGCTTTTTTTTTTCCCCTCTGCCTTCAGGTACGTGCAGTCGTGACTAGTAATAAAGCAAAGTTTGAATTTGTTGAGGCATCTCTCAATACTTTCCTCCTCAGAAGGAAAAAGTGGACTAATGTGACCTGCTGTCACATAACAGTGCTGTAGTCCATGTAGTTTTCTGATTTAGAGTAATTGTGTTTATTTTGTAGAGCTCTTTGAGGAGCCATATGAAACTCCAAAGAGCTCCAGTAGCTCTGCCAAGATCAAACCTGTAGAACTTCAAAGAGAAAAGGCAAGTTACCATAGAATCATCATAGAGTCATAGAAAGGTTTGGGTTGGAAGGGACCTTAAAGATTGTCTTGTTCCAACTCCCCCTGCATGGGCAGGGACATCTCCCAATAAACCAGGTTGTTTGGAGCCCCATCCAACCTGGCCTTGAACACTTTCAGGAATGGGGCATCCACAGTTTCTCTGGGTAACCTGTTCCAGTGCCTCAGCTCCTTCACAGTAAAGAATTTCTTCCTAATATCTAATCTAAACCCACTGTCTGTCAGATTCAAGTCATTTCCCCCTCTCCTATCACTGCATGCCCTTGTACAAGGTGTGTCTAGCTTTACTGTAGGCTCCTTTAGGTATTCCTTTAAGGTCTGCCCTTTAAGCTGAACAACCCCAACTCTCTCAGCCTGCCCTCATGGGCGAGATGCTCCAGCCCTCTGAGCATCTTCAAGGCCTCCTCTGCACCCACTTTATCAGGTCCATGTCCTTCTTATGTTGGGGGCCCCAGAGCTGGACAGAGGTCGCC